CTCCTGGCGCTATGGTGGTCACACACACACACATGTTCTTTTATTATTATTATACATATATTAATAAAAATTAAAAATAGCAAAATCAGATATATGAAACATTCTAACCAATGCTGTTAATTAAAGTAACAATAAAGAAATAATAGAGTATACCTTACTCACAGAACATAAACACTGGCTGTTGACTTCAAGTACTGTCATCATAGAATGCCAGACAGTCATTATCACATTATACTGTTCTCTGTTGAAGTCAAAATAAATATACAGTGCCTTGCAAAAATATTTGCCTCCCTGCAAAGTTCCACATTTTGTTGATGTCTGAACTTGCAATCAAGAAACTTTCAAATGGGATTTTATATTTGGAATCTATACGATCTACTCCAAACTGAGAAAGCTAAAAAATGCTGATATTATACAAGTTAGATTTTCAAAGAATATTAGAATATTCTCAATTGCATATGTATTCAAACCCTTTGCTATGGCTACCCTAAGTCAATTCAGATGCAAAATATTAGTTTCAAAGTTCACAAAATTAGTGTAATAGTCTCTGTCTGTGTATAATCAAAGTAGTTTAACTTGACTTCAGAGTAAATGCATCTGTTTAAGCCACAACTCACATAGTGATACAACAAACCAACCATGAAGACCAAGCTTTCCAAACAAGTCAGAGATAAAGTGGTAGAGAAGCACAGATCAGAAGGTTGCAAGAAAATTTCAAAGATTATTCCTTTGAATACAGTGAAGCCCATCATTAAGAAGTGGAATGTGCTTCATGCCACTCATTCACTATCCAGATCAAGCCACCCTTCCAAATTAAGCAGGAAACTGGTTAGAGATGCCACTGTGAAGCCAACAGTAACTTTGAAATATTTGCAAAATTTGATGTCTGAGATGGGAGTCAGTGTTCAAACATCGACAATATCCTGGTCTAAGCTAGTCTGTATGGGCACTTGGCAAGAAAGAAGCCATTACTGAAAAAGAATCATCTTAAATTGCATATTGAGTTTGCGACGAAGCATGTAAATGATACTGCAGACATGTGGCAGAAGGTTTTTGTGGTCAGACAAGACAAAAATTGAGCTTTTTGGTCTAAATTCAAAGAGTTACATCTGGGGCAAGCCCAACACAGCATATCACCCAGTCAGCACTATCCCAACTGTCAAGCATGGTGGTGACAGCATGTGATGGGGATGCTTCTCATCAGTTGTGACTGGGAAGCTTGAGGGGAAAAGGGATGGTGCAAAGTACAAGTGAATCCTAGAGGAAAACCTGCTCGAGTCAGCCAAAATTCTAAAACTGGTTCAAAGATTCACATTCCAGCAGGACAATGACCCACAGCACAAGGCCGAAGCCACACTGGAATGGTTTAAAAATGAAGAAAGTGTATGTCCTGGAGTGGCACAGTCAAAGTCCTGACTTTAATCCAATGGAAAATTTGTGGCAAAACTTGAAAATTGCTGTCCGTTAACAATCCACAATAAACTTATCAGAATTGGAGCAATTTTGCCAGGAAGAATTGGCAAAATTATGACATCCCATTGTGCAAATCTGGTAGAGACCTATCCAGAAAGACTCATAGCAGTAATTGCTGCCAAAGGTGCTTCCACCAAGTACTGACTTAGGGGGCTGAATACTTATGCAATCAGCAAATTTAAATTTATATATTTTCTTTGCAGGTTTTGCTGACATCCAATCTCCTTCACACACATAACAGTAAGTGTGATCATGAGAGTTTTGAATAAAAAACAGGTTCATTAAAAACATTGTTTACATTATTTGTACATCATCAAAATGTGATGTTATTGGTAGGGGGTGAATATTTTTGCATATAGGTTTGATTAATTTTTATATTGACATCGTTTTAATTTGTATTATAAAGTTTCAGGTTGTTGTTTTTGTATCTATTAAATTTTCATAGAGAAACCATACTAGTTTCATAGAGTAGTTTAATACATTGTCATTTTATCGGATATTATGTAGGATGACTTTTATAACACATCAGTGCTGTTTCTTCTAATGGAGTTGTTGTCTTTACTTCCTTTACTAACAGTAAGTTTTCCAGGTTAAATTACTGTTGTAATTTTGTACTGTAAAAATGCACATATTTATGCTTTATACTTGCTTACTTTTCATTCCTCTGTCTACCATGAGGTGTGGAGGGAAAATGTAGGAATGTTGATATGCTCTATTCTCTAAGGGTAATTCTGTGGTGTTTGATGTTATCTGTGATGTCTTGACTTCACCTTCTTTTTGGTCTTCCCCTTGCCTTGTAACAGTTGTGTTGTCATATTGTCGATCATTGTGGCAATTTATTCCAAGGCATCCTAATGAGGTGGCCAAACCATTTGATTTGTTGCTTTTGAATATGTTCCAGGACTGGTCTTACTCTCAATCTTTCTCAGATATCTTCCTTTCTGATTCCATCTCGGCACGATACTCCGAGGGCTCGTCTCAGACATCTAATTTCTTTTGTAGTTTCCTTATGCTTCTGTGAAGTTGTTAGAATCCAGGTGTGGCACTGATAGCACAGTGTTGGCAGGAATATAGTTTTTATGAGGCTAACTTTTGTGTTGATTGAGATATGTTTATGTTGCAGCAGTGGTGAATATTGTCCTAAAAACCCGATTTGCTTTGGTGCATCTGATGTTTATTTCTCTGTCCATTTTACCATCTTCCATAACTACACTTTCCAAATACTTAATTCTTCAGTTTGTTTGATGTCAGTATTATTCACCCAAATTTTCATTTCTTCTCTTTGTGTTCCAATAGACATTACTTCCATGTTCTCTGTACTTATTTTCATATTGTATTCTTTGCACTTGATGTCCATTTGATTCAACTGGTCCTGTAATTTTCTATCACTTTCATCTTTTGTTGTCAGCAAAAAGGAGCTCATTGATGTCATACTCTTCTGATGGGTTTGATTTTTTGCAGATGTTGTCAGTATAGATGATGAAGAGGAGTGGGGATTGTACACATCCCTGTTTTACACATGGTGTTACTTTGAAGGGTTTCAATGCCCCTGCTTTAGTTCTTACTGTGCTTATACTTAATCTATATAGACTTGGACATATTATTATTAAGTGTTCAGTTACGTCATATTTCTGTAATGTTTCCCACAGTTTTGAATGATCTACTCTATCAAATGCCTTTTCTTGATCGACAAACGCTATTTTAAGCTTTGGTTGTGTTCTATACTCTTTTCTGTCAGTTATTTTAGAGTGAAGATAACATCTGTACAGCTTTTGTTTGACCGAAACCCATCTGTGATTCTGAAAGTTGTTGCGCAATGATTGGTCATAGTCTCCTTTGGATAATCTTAGCATTTGTTTTCCCTGTATGATTTAGGAGTGATATCCCTCTGTACTTTATACAATCTCTTTTGCTACCCTTATTCTTCATGTAGGAACTATGATTGCTTTCTGCCAATCTTGATGTGTTTGCTGCTGCTTGGAAAATTCTTCTTAGCCAGCTTGTACTGGCTTCTCCTGTGGCCTGGATCAGTTCAGAAGTCAAACCGTCTTCACCAGCTGCCTTATTACTTGGAGCTGTTTTAAATGCCTTTTCTACTTCTGATAGTAATAGGCATGGCTCAAGTGTTGTTGCTTTCTGTTCTCTTCTGCAATCTGTTGATTCATTTAGGTTGAGCAAATCATTGAAATAATCTCTATGCTTTAAGATATTTAAAACTTCTACACATTCTAAAGTATGCATGCCATGTTAGCATATACATCTAATGCAACTGAATGAACAAATGATCTACATGAAACTTGAAAAGCTGAACATGCATTAAAGACTCAAAAGTAAGCTATAGTCAAGAAAGAGATATGAATGATGCTGCATTTTTGTTGTCAGTGCCATTATTAATTGTGTTTTTATGTTGTTGTTTTTCTATTTATTTTGAAATCATGCAGAATTTGGCCTTAACTATACTTAAAAATTCAAAATATTTTTTGCTCTTACTGGGAAATTCTATCTTTAATAATATTTGCCAAAGTGTTAAAACTAACTTTTAAACATAGAGTTCATTCAGTATCATGTATTCATGAGTTGTTTCCATGGATACTGTTAGGAGTTACTGGGTCTCAACAGACTGCTTTGAAAGAAAATGACAGATGGGATAAAAACCTCAATAGGTGTTTGAATTTTATGATATATATATATATATATATATATATTTAAAATCCTGGTACACATAAAGAGATAACTTACAATGCATAATAGTAAAGTGAAGTGAATTTTTCAATAATAGATACATTATATATATTGAACTGTAAACATATTTTACATTTCGCTTGTAGGAATATTTGATATTCTGCAAGTATAATGTGTGAGAAAGAACAATAAATCAAATAATTTAATACCATTTGTATAGAGAAATAGTTAATAATGTTCTCACCTTTTCTTAATGAAATATTTTAAATTATTCCGACCTCTGCAACTTCAGAATTTTAATATAACATAAAAACGTAGATGTATTTATATTATTCTTTTGTTAAATTTTATAAATACAGTTAAAGTTACTGCTCTATGCCACATTTTATATTTTCCATTTAAGATGTATGTTGTGTCACTAAGTAGTTTGTCAGTCTTAACCAGTACCAAAACGTGAGAAAAGTTTGTTGCTGTGTTATGATTTTCTCATTAACACTGACCTTTTTTTCTTTCTTTCTTGGAGACCAATTTAACTTATACTGAGCAACAACAGGAAATACATCTCATTGAGCTTTGATAGTGATGTCAAACTGTTGTCACAACAGATTTTAGGGTCTTTGCTAATATACATTTGCATTGAAGAATATATGTAGGCACTTCTACTCAAAGATTTGACAATTATGTTTTAGTAAAAAATTTATCCATTTGTTTTGATTTTGAATCTTAGGATAAAACTTGGAACTCAGTCTTTTTAACAGTGTTCATGAAGGATTTATAATCTTCCTGTTTATTCTTATGAAAAGTCAAAACAGCCTAAGTACATACTATACATCAAACAAGGTTGTAAAATTGTATTATTTGAGTATACGAAAGAGATTGTTGCAGAAGTAAAAATATGAGTTTATATTTATAGGAAGAGTAACTAATCTGAGACGCTGTACATATGTGGTATTGGATGAAGCTGATCGTATGTTTGACATGGGATTTGAGCCTCAGGTAATGGTGCTACTTTCAACTATATCCTTTATAATCAAGTAATATATCTTTATAAATTAACTAGGCTGCTCAGATCAGTGACTAAACATTTTATTGCAGATCATTGTTTTGATCATTCACCTACAACATGTACTGAAACAAATGCTTCTACTTAATTTTTCTGTTATTAATTTTGGCATATCCTTTTTATTTCACAATTTATACAAAACCACTAGTTGACTTTCTTGTAAGATAGCATTTTCTACTGGATGGTAAAATTTCTACTAGTTAGTAACAGTTATTACTTTACTAACATTGGTAAACTAGAAGTTGACCAATTCTAGAAATACATAAAACAAAGGGAAAAAAAGATTTTATGAAATCGTATAATAGATAAAGCCACATTTTGATAAATGTATTATATACAAAAACTGAATGAAGAAATGAAGTAAGAGTGAAAAACCTCTAGAGCTGACCTTGAATGTTTCCTCACTTCTTGATCTTCCATCTACACAGCACTTCTATGAATTAATACTATATGTGACACATCACTAACTACTAATCTAATCTGAATTTGCAGTTTTTCATCTGCATAGGTTATTCAATGGTGATAAGAACTATGACTCTAAAACCTAAAACAATTTGGAATTTTTTCAACAAGCTAGTTCACTCAATATCTGAAATTTATGGTGTGTTTTTCCTGAAATATATAAAAGTTTGTGCAAAACATGTAATCAGTATGAATAGATCTTTTTAGAAATGTCAGGCACTATGCTCTTGAGTATACAGCATATTTGTGCATTTCAAATATTTTGGCATAACAATTTACAGTGGTATATAAGAAAGTTTCTTTAGTACTATACACCTCTTTTTGAAACAGGTCATGAGAATAATTGATAGTACCCGTCCAGATCGGCAGACTGTGATGTTTTCAGCAACATTTCCACGACAAATGGAAGCTCTGGCTCGCCGTGTGCTAACTAAACCAGTTGAAGTACAAGTTGGTGGACGTAGTGTTGTTTGTAAAGATGTTGAACAACACGTTGTAAGTTGGATAACTATACTTCCTTTACAGATTTTAAAAGCATATATTTTTCTGAATAAAGTCTTTGAATAGGAATTGTAGAATAGCTTTTGCATGTATGTCTTCAAGCACACACACACACACACACATTTAAAAGCTTATGCTTATAAGTTAAAATGCTTTATCAGTGCATTCTACAAAACTGTTTAGCATAACATTTGACTTATCGATTAGGCTACTCCAAAAATTAGTTAATGGAAGTTTGCTGAAGCTTTATTTTAGTGAGTAGTTAGAAGTCGTATCAATCAATTTTCATAATTTTGCACTGATAAGCCAACAGGGTTGGCTGTTAGTGCAAATGGATTATGCACCCATTTATCATAGTCATTTGTTGCTAGTGGTAGAGTAAGTAGGATTTTAGTTGTTTGTACAGAAATATTGAATACTAGTCTAAAGAAGTTATAATTTTATTGTACAGGTCATTGGTTAGGCCACATTTTGAATATTGTGTTCAGTCTTGGGCTCCTTACCTGAGGAAAACAATGAATTGTTGGAAAGGGTTCAGAGAGGGTTTACTATAATGGTGCCTTGGTTGTCATATGAGGAGAAGCTGAAATATCTCAAATTGTTTTCTCCTGAAAATACAAGAGTTGGGGGGG